AAGGTATAAAAATAGAGATGAGCAAAAATGAGCTAATAGAAGGAACTGTTTCTGTTGACTTACTTGTTTACTGTGAGACAGTTCTGTAGTCCGCCCTGGCCTTGAACACTCGCTCCTTCTGCTTTGCGCCCAGCACTGGGACCGCAGGAGTTAGCACACACCCAACTACTATTTGTTTGAGGGAGTCTGCAGTCCAGGCCTGCCGTGGATCATGGCAGTTCTCCTGCCTTAGCCTCCAAACTGGCATGAGCTTCTGTTCCATATTGGAGTAAATATTTCTAATTCAAGACTGATTGTGTTAGAAAAGAAAACTTTCTCATTCCTAGTAGCTCCAGGTGAGCAATAACTTAAAAACACGGCTTCAAAGCACAGATAAAACTCAAGGTGTTGTGAGTAAATCCTTTTGTTGAAACTTTTCCTAAGATTTAGGCAATACCACATAGACCCCTTCCGTTAGAGGAGAGCAAGTCTAAAGACCTTCAGAGAGTATCTCTTAGCCCTGTCCTTAGACAGGGGGACACTTGAAGATCGAGGTTATTTTTTCAACATTAGCTTCACTTGACATTTATGTAACATCACGTTTATTTGAGAAAATTAATGTATTGTATATTATAATGTTATGTAGATAAACATCATGCGCCCACATATGCTAGGCCTCTGTCTACATAGAATTTCTTGGAGAGTGTACAAGGCTCTTAAGAGATTGTACACTAACCTTCTGTTCTGTAACAGCACCCGGAGGCTAGAGCCAAGAAGTTAGAGAATAGTTACCGGGGCGGGGCTTCGCCACCACGGAGGGACTGGCAAACTAAAAATCAGAACTGAAGGGCCGACTTCCTGCTTTCCCCACTTTGCCTCACATTTGAATGGGAATGTCTACTGTGGTTACCTTAGCCAGTCTCGGTGCCCTGTGTGTGTCGAGTGTGTGGGAGCAGATAATTTGTCTCTTTGATTCAGATCAAGAGGAACTAGAGTGCAGTAGCTGTACAGAGGAACTGCATCTGAGGAGCTCCAGCCACACCTGGACCTGACTTAGATATGGACAGACTGACGTCAAGCTGGTGCCACAATGAGAGGAGAATTTGGAAGGTCTTAGGAAAGGGTGAGTGTATTTTGCATGTGGGAGGAGTTGTTGGGCCGAGGGGTGGTGTGTGGCAGTTAGACTCCACAGTGGCCTCCGAAGCGTTTTCCTCTCCTGCCGTCCAGGGGGTAGTATTCTGTCCTTGGTTTGAATGGGGGCTGGCGGCAGCGAGCCGATTAACTAACAGGGTGTCATTTGTTGGGGCTGCTGGGATAGATCCTGGGAAGCAGCGCAGCCTCTGTGTGGTACCTGGGATTCTTCTTGGAGTAATTCACTCTTGGAACATGGCTGTGAGAAACCGCAGCCAGTGGGAGAAGTCCTTACTGACACCCCAGGGAGCGACTAGTGAGCGGCCAGAGTCAACTGCGCCAGCATGCGTGAGTGAACAGTTGTGTTGCAAAGTCTGGGTGTAGCAGACAGCACTTGGAGAAGACAGAGGCTGCAAACACTTAGTTTCTGTTAGGACCGCTCCCAGGACGAGAGGTACAGCTTGTGAGTAAGGGCACTGGCTGCTCTTGGAGAGGACCTGGCTTTGATTCCCAGCAGCCACATGTTGGCTCACAACTGTTTGTGACTTCAGTTCCAGGGGAGCCCACTTTTTTTTTTTTTTTTTGCTTCCTGGAACACTAGGCAGTCACAGAGTACACAAATATTTATAGGAAAACACCTAATTTTTAGATGTAAATATACATTAAAGAATCTAGTCTTAGCCATTCAGGTTGGCTCAGCTGGGGTTTCATTCATCGTTAAGAGGAAGCTGGCCCCTGCAGTACCTTGACCCAGTGTCCTCCAGATCATGAGAGCAGCAGAGCGAGTCATTTGGGGAATTGTTGTTGTTAAGAATTTATTTTTATTTCATTCGCATTGGTGTTTTGCTTGAGTATATGTCTGTGTGAGGGTGTCAGATCCCCTAGTACCAGAGTTACAGACAATTTTGAGCTGCCATGAGGGCTGGGAACTGGACCTACGTCTTCTGGAAGAACAGCCAGTGCTCTTAATCATTGAGCCATTTCTTCAGCCCCTGTTTTTGTTTTTGTTTTTTTTTTTTGTTTATTTGGTTGGTTGGTTGGTTGGTTTTTGAGACAAGGTCTTACTATGTAGCCCTGCCTGTCCTGGAACTCACTATGTAGACCAGGCTGGCCTTCACAGAGAAATGCCTGCCTCTGCCTCTTGAGTGCTGGGATTAAAGGTATGTGCCACCACACCTGGCTCACTGGACTTTTTTTTTAAATAATAGTAAGTAACTGGAATGTTGTTGGACAATCAGAAAATAATCTAGCTCTATGCAGTCTGCAGAGAGATCTCTATGCGAAAGGAGGGGGCATAAGGAATCAGAGAGATTGGAAGTAAAGGTGTGGATAAACCTATTAAAAATATTGGTAAAGCCTACTAGTTGTAGATAAAATTCATTTGAAGGCAAAAGTCATTATTAGAGTTAAAATGATGAGGAGAAATCTAAAGAGATGATGAAATGAGCATGACATATAGACAGACTACAGGTAGACTTCAGAATACATAGATGAGCTAGAGGAGCCACATATGAATAGTCTCAGCTGCACAGGAGAATGAGGCAGGAGGAGTGCCTGAGCCTAGGCACTCTTCATTACGTATGCAGAGTTCCGCCTGCAAGTACACCTGCGCACCAGAAGAGGGCAGCAGATCTCACTATGGATGGTTGGGAGCCACCATGTGGGTGCTGGGAATTGAACTCGGGACCTCTGGAGGAGCAGCCAGTGCTCGTAATCCCTGAGCCATCTCTCCAGCCTGTTGTTTGGTTTTTGATTTTTGTCTTTTTGGATTACTGTCTAGCTCTAGCTGGCCTGGGACTTGGTAGTAGATCAGGTCTGCCTTATTTCTGCTTCTGCCTCTTAAGTGCCACCATGTCTGACTAAGATATCAGTCTGCTAGAGAGTGAAGGGGAGGAGACGGGTCATGGTGAGAGAACAGGCGCACATAATGCAGGAGGACATGTGCATGTAGCTCTGGGAGTAGTTTGGTAGTTCCGCAGAGTTAGAAGTTCTGACTTTTTTCTGCTAACCTATGGTCATGTGGGCAAAATTTTTTTTCTGAGCATATACTAAAAATTGAATAACCAGCAAGCTTCATTTGATAGGCATGCAAAGAGTCTTAATAGATGAAGACACTTAAAAACGTTTAAAAATACTAAATATGCTAAGTTCATAGTAAGCCTCAGCAACACCAGTGAGTGGATTTAAGCCAACTGCCAATTATAGCCCATAACTGCAGGTAAGATTAAAACTGAGCAAAAGAACAACCAAAATAACATTACTGTGACTTTAAAGGCACACAGCTAAGAAACTGGTAGGTGAAAGAGGAGAAAATAACCAAAACTGGAAGTACAACTGAATTCTAATAGAAACAGTTTGTGGGCTATCTGAGAGCAGTACCCATAGGGAGATTACAGCCTTTTCTGCTTTGTTTCTTGGAGGTTTGATTTGAGCTCTTAAACATGTCTTTTATCATAGCCGGGCTCTGTGGCACACGCCTGTGATCCCAGCACTCGGGAGGCAGAAGCAGGTGGATCTCTGTGCGTTCGAGGCCAGCCTGGTTTACAGAGTGACTTCAGGACACCCAGGGCTGTACAGAGAAACCCTGTCTCAAAAAACAAATAACAACAAAAAATGTCTTTTGTCTCTTGGTTTTTGAATAAGGCATGTTTTAGTGCCCTTATTTGAACATTCCAACATTTATCTGTTGTTGTTGGTTGTAGCTGTTGCGTTCTCTTGCCTGTGTGGGGCATCACCTTCCCACATGTGGTAAATTTGTTAAGATCACAAACAGGAGTTGTACTCTGCTGAGCACTTTGGTCTTTTCCTCTGCTGCACACAAAGCCGAGGCACCAGCACACTCTGGCCTTCCTCTGCTCTCCTCGAGTGGCCAGAGCAGCTGTCCCCAGATGCGCTGGGTTACTCTGCCAGGGCCACGTGGCTGTGGCTGTGCTCGTGAGTGGGGGAGACGGTTGTCCTGCGCTGAGGGCTGCTGCACGTGCCTGTCTCAGCCCTCTGCTGAGCACGGAGGGTTCTCTGCAAAATCTCAGATGCTGCTGTGCAGCCCTGCGCTCCCTGCTGACCACCCTGCAGGCTGTTTGCCTCGGTTTCCCAGACTCTCAACTCGCGGTGACGGGAGACAGTGTCTTTCTTTCACCTTGCTTCCTTTCTCTCAGAGCCCACTGTCCTGTGTTGCTGGGTGTGCCTTGTTTCTGTGTGCTTGTTTCAGGCAGGTATGGCCTGGAACTGTCTTTGTAGCTCACGCTGGCCTTGAACTTGTGGCAGTGCGCTGGCCTCACTCGACCTCTTGAATGCTGGCATTGTAGATGTGAGCCACTGCACCTGATTGGTTTGTTTTTAAATGTCCTTAAACTGCTTCACGAAAGATATATTTGTCAGTTGTGTGGGCCTGCCAGGGGAACAGCATGAGTTGACTTTTTCTACACGTAAGTTTCTTCAGGCACTTTGACAGATTGTTTTACATTTTGTTGTAAGCGGTGATTAATATTTACTATTGATTTATCTTCTGGTAATGCTGCTGTTAATCCTAAGCAGCTGTATACCCAAATCACTACCCAGAGACTGGGTTTATTTAGTTAACCTAGAACACAATGCTGGGCAATAGCTACTCCATCCTACACCTCCAAGCCCTCAGTTTCCTAACATTTAGATTTCCCACATTATACTGCTTTGAATGGTATCTTGGGTCCAGTCCATCTCTCCACGTAGTTCCACGATCTCTCCTCCAGCTCTCTCCTAGCTCTCCTCTCGCACCCTCTCCCTGCATCCGGCACCTCCACGTCCTAAGCCTGTGCCGGGACGGGCGCAAAGGACACATCTGACTGCAGGCAGGGGGATTGGCAGAATTGGGGGAGCAGGGACATCAGAGCGGATATGAAGTTCATCTGGCGAGCTGGAGCCCCTGCCCCAGATGTCTGCTGGCCCCTGCCTCACCTGGTGTCAGGACAGTGCACACTTGCAGCTCCTGCTCCCGGGGCCACTCTCATCAGGTGGGTTCAACTTCCTCAGTTCATGCTGCCGAACCTCGAATACTAGCGAGTAGAAAGCATCCTCCACACCCTGCCGGGTCTTAGCTGATGTTTCAATGTAGGGGACCATAGCTGCGAGCAAGGTCCTGGGCAACCTAGACTCAGCTGTGCGAGCGGCCAGGTCACACTTGTTCCCCACCAGTACCATTGGCACATTGTCTGAGTCCTTCACCCGCTTGATTTGCTCCCAGTACTGATGGATATCTTCAAGTTTGGTGTTGTCGATGGCAACCCCACAGAGGAAGCCCTCCCCTCCCCACAGAGGAAGCCCTCCCCTCCACACAGAGGAAGCCCTCCCCTCCACACAGAGGAAGCTTCCCCTCCACACAGAGGAAGCCCTCCCCTCCACACAGAGGAAGCTTCCCCTCCACACAGAGGAAGCTTCCCCTCCACACAGAGGAAGCCTCCCCTCCACACAGAGGAAGCTTCCCCTCCACACAGAGGAAGCTTCCCCTCCACACAGAGGAAGCCTCCCCTCCACACAGAGAAAGCCCTCCCCTCCACACAGAGGAAGCCCTCCCCTCCACACAGAGAAAGCCTCCCCTCCACACAGAGAAAGCCCTCCCCTCCACACAGAGGAAGCCCTCCCCTCCACACAGAGGAAGCTTCCCCTCCACACAGAGGAAGCTTCCCCTCCACACAGAGGAAGCTTCCCCTCCACACAGGAAGCCTCCCCTCCACACAGAGGAAGCTTCCCCTCCACACAGAGGAAGCCTCCCCTCCACACAGAGGAAGCCCTCCCCTGGGCGAATGTACTGGTCCCATATGGCACTGTAGTCTTCTTGACCTGCTGTGTCTAAGATGTCCAGCAGACATGTCTCCGCATCAATGACCACCTTTTTCCGATAGGAGTCCTCTATGGTGGGGTCATACTTGTCCACAAAATGGTTCTGGATCAGCTGACAGTCAGGGCACTCTTTCCCACGCTCCTGTGCCCACCACCACAAGCTTGTACTCTGTCATTGCTTCTCCAGGGGCTGCCACTCCAGGAGCTCCTGCCCCACCACTTGCTGGCCGGACTGCCCCCGGGGCCAGGGCCGGGGCTGGGGCAGGGGCAGGGGCGTGGCTGGGCCTGTGCATGGGCTCCGTCCGCTGCCGGTGCGGCTTGGCCTCGCACTCTCGCTGATGGACAATCACCGATGTGCTTTCCTTTGGCCCAATGGCCGTCCTAAGTCACAGCTTTCCTCAGCAGGTCCCTTGGGTTTCGGCACCACCTGTAGTCACCCAAGAGCACCAATAGAAACCACCTGCACAAGGGACTGGGAACTAAAAGAGACAGAGAACACGAAGGAGTGACGCCAAGACAGTGCTCTGATCAAGGCGCCATCTTTATTACAGAGTAAACCACTTACATAGGTTTCCAAGTAAACATATCCAAGCAAAACAGGAGACTTAACTAGGCAAAACAGGAGGCTTAACTGAGCAAAACAGGAGGTGTCTGCTGAAAACAACAGGAATGGCGAGCCAGCACGACTTGCACACTCATGACCATCTCAGGTCACATGGAACGGCTACCTCAACATTTCTAGTATTTTAAAGCCTCGTATGGTGGTACATAGCTTTATCCAGCCTCAGGAGCAGAGGTAGGTATCTGGTCTGTCTAGCAAGTTCCAGGCCACCTAGGGCTACACAATGAGACCCTGCCTTTAAAACATTTTTAAAGTGTTTCCAGTTAATTCCTCTTGTTGTGATTTTTATTTGCAAAACAAAGATATTTAGTTTGTTCTATGGTTATGTAAGTAGAGAAATACTTTAGCAGCACAGGCCTGGGGTCGAAACTAGATATCACAACCTCGTTTCTCGTATTAGTTTCCACACAGCATCGGGTGGTCATTTTTGTTTTTCTCTTTAAGAGTAATCCATCTGTCTAGTTTGATTTGATCTTGTGACCGTAGAGAAGAAACCTAGGAACAGAATAAAGAAACTTTTTATGTCCTGAAGCTTTTAAAAACAAAATGAAGATACAAATATTTTTTTTTACATTTAATATCTTTATGCACTTCCACAATGCAGTCCTTTTTCCTTAACAAAAATGAAACACTGTCCTGTAGTCTAGTTAATGTTTTTTTAAATAAATAATTGATTCCTAAGATTTCCTATTAAGAAGACTGTGTTCTGGGTGAATAATTTAAGGGAAAGTAATGCATTCTCTTAGTGAAATAATGAAGGAAAGAGAGATGTGGGGTTGGCTTTAAGGAGAGTGATCATGTGGGTGCAGATGAGGGAGTTGGCTGGTCTCAGGCTCATCTGACCAGCGTTGAGGAAGCCATCTGATGAAACCACCCTGAGATAGTGTGAGTCCTGCTTTTGGGGTGAAAGGTCATTGAAGGATTCTACCTTGGGACGCTCACACTTACTTTCTCTCTTCCCTCCCTGTGTTCAGTATACAGTGTTGACTAACTGGAAAGCAGAGTGAGGGCTGGAGAGAAGGGCACAGAAGACCTGGGGGCCCACAAATGCATGGAACTCCAGTTGCAGAGCCCTCAGCACCTTTGGCCACGGGGCTGCACTCCGCAGAACGTGCTCACAAACCCAGCAGGTGCACACACACAGTTACCTACTTAAAAACAGAGAAGGAGGGACAGTCCCCTTCGTAGAAAAATCCAACTTAGGAGTTTCTAGAGCTGTATTTTTTGCAAACTGGAAGACAGTCTAACTTTCATGGCGCCATTTGTAGGATTATATACCTAGGAAAGCCTGAAAATTTGCATTTCTGACATTATGTGGAAGAGATGCAGTTTAAATGCCCTGCATTGTGAAAGTTAGAAGATTCGATACAGGGACACAGGGCCATTTGGGCCCTGGTGAGGATCGCGCATGCATGCGCGTGTGTGTGGGTGGGCATGTGTCCAAGTGCGCGTGCTGAGCTTGCTCACGTGCCCGTGGCTAATATCATTCCTTACAGCTCCACTCTTTGGTCATGGCCTCCTCATGTTTCTGTGGCTCATAATTTTCCTGATTTTGCATGTATATGTTTATAGGATCAGCTCTGCTTAGGACCATATTATTTTCTCTCCCTCCTAGCTAAGGCTCCTCGAGTCATCCTTGTAGGAGCTCACCCAAGTTTGTTAAACTGAACTAACCTGCAGGTCTGTTTGGCAAACTGGACAAAAATCAGAGCACAGACATACCTAATGGAGAATCTGAGAGACAAGGAAATGGACATATCTCTGTGTCCTGGAATGACCAGCTAGCTTCTCCTGCCCAGATCAGGAAGGCGTGCTTGCACAGTCTTCCTGTTCTGTCAGGGTGTGGGGCTTTGGGACTCAGAAGATCCAGGTTTGGCAAGTTTTAATGAAAAGGAGAAAAGATCATCAGAGAAAGAACTTAAGTCCTTGGACTTGCTGCCAACCTCCGTCCGGACCGTAGAGCCACAGATAGAGCATGTCAGGCGCCCATCAGCGACAGCAGGCCACATACATGAAGATGCTCAGGAGTCCAGCTGTCTGAAGCTTTCAAAAAAGTTTCTTTGTCAGTTTCTGGAGTCTAAAGGAGGGGGAGGAACTGATTAAGGACATACATGCATTGGGTGGTTGTCTATCTTGATTGATGGTTACTTACTGCTTTAATCTACTGTGTATGTTCTTTCCCATAATGACCGACTTCAATCATATACATAAGGCATAAGATGGAAAATAAGGGTTTATTCCTAAAAATTGACTTTGGGAATCCAGTTTTTTTGTTTGTTTGTTTTCTGTTTTTGTTGTTGTTGTTGTTTTGTTTTGTTTTTCGTTGTTTGCTCTTTGGTTTTTGTTTTGTTGGTTTTTTTTTTTTAAAGACAGGGTTTCTCTGTGTAGTACTGGCTGTCCTAGAACCTGCTCAGTAGACCAGGCTGGCCTCAAACTCAAGAGCTCTGCCTGCCTCTGCCTCCTGAGCACTGGGATTACAGGCGTGCGCCACCACCTTTAATCCACAGAGAGTCCAGTTTTATTTTACTAAGCATGCACCCAGCCTGGGCTGGCTCCGTCTTCCTTCTTTTGTACTGGACCTTTGAAGAGTGTGACTGAGTAGAGTCTGTCTAAATTGGAGAGCTGTTAAGCTGTTTGGAGTCTGTTGTTTGGAGTGGGGTGTGCACACACAGTACATGCAGGTTAGGGCCCTACTCTGCCACGTGTGTCAGCACCAGAGTGTGCACGTGGTCCAGTCAAGGGCCCCGGTGACTCAGGTACCCTGTAATGGGAAGACTTTTACAAGTCTCTTTGTCTCACTTCCCAAGAAACAGCTGGGATTGGACCTTTAGCCTTTGTCATCCCGCCCCGTTACAGTGTTTAAACAGTTTTCATGTGTGTCTATGTGCACACGAGTGACATGCTACACGTAAAGGTCCCAGGACATGTTTGTGAAGTTGCTTCTCTGCTTCTACCTTAATATGGGTTCTGGAGCTCAAGCTCAGATTCCCAGGCTTGTGTGGAAAATGTGTTTACCCACTATGCCATCCCACCAACTCTTTAACGGGGCTTTTAAAAAAATAATCCTATATATGAAATAAAAGTTCCGTGGTATAGAATTTTCCACTTGCGCTATTGTGTCCAGGCCTTTTCAGATTAGGGTTAGTAAACTTGTGTTGGAAGAGCTGGAGAGGATACTTTAGGGTTGGTCTTTTACAACTATTGCCCAACAAATTGTATATGGAAAAGAGAAACACAGCTGTTACTACACACATGTGATTGCCCACGTTTGCAGCCTGTTTAACCTGATTAAGCAACATCCAGACTCCAGACGTGAAGTGGGTGGTACAGCTGATTCCTCCAAGCCCTGAAGTAGGAGTTAGTCCTGGCTCGTGTGCTTTTTAAAAGCATTTGCTGTTCAGCCTTAAAAGTGTTTGTTTGTTTGTTTGTTTGTTTTAATATTTACTTTCTGGGTGTGTGGGTAACAGCTCATGTGTGGAAGTCGGAGGACAGCTTTCAGGGGTGCATGCTTGTCTCCCTTCACGTGGGTGGCAATAGTAGGCCTTGACAGAGCTCAGGTCATGAGCTAGGCAGCAAGCACCTTCACCTGTGGAGCCGTCTCCCCAGCCCCCACTAGCAATTTCTGTAGACCATTGCTAATCTCCAGGAGAGTTCAGTCCTGGGAAGAGAGGAAGAGAGCTTCAGAGGCAAAAATGACCTTTGAAGAGAGTTGAGTCTTAGAATTGGGGACTTTAGGATTTGGAAAGTACTTGGCACCCATCTAAGCTGACATAAAATATTTATGACTAGTGTGTGTAAGGAACAGCTCTCCATGGCCTGTTAGGATCTCTTCCATCATTTCTCTCCTTTATCTCCGCCTCTGTTTTTATTCTTTCTGTTTCTTGCGCTATTGATCTTTATTGTTTTTTCTTTTTAAAATTAATTAATGACTGTGTGTGTGGGTGCACATGCTGATGTGTGGAGCCCAGAGAGCAACTCTGAGGGATAGGTTCTTCCCGTGTGTGGGTCCCAGGGATAGAACCCTTACGTTATCTGCCCAGACATAAGCCTAGTGTAATTAACATTGCTGTAAAGTGGAGTTTGACATAGGTCATATTGCCTTAGACACTCACAGTGCAGGGGATGGAGAAAAGACTGGTAAGAAAACGTGCTGTTCTTGCAGAGGACCCACGTTCAATTCTAGCACCCACATCAGACAGCTGCCAACTCCCTGTAACTCTAGCTCCAGGAAATCCAACACCCTCTTCTGGCCTCCAAGGGTGCCTGCATCGTGTGTGCACACACACACACTTAAAAAATAAAAATAAATTTTAAAAAGAAACAGTAGAGGCCAAATATCAGAGCCTTAAGAGCATATTATGACCACAAGACATCTTTCTGCACTTCCCAGATAGTGTTATATTTTAGCTATGAAATCAGTTTCTACAGCCCAAGTTTTTTATTTTTAAGGTCAAAAGAATTTGGTAGATTTATTTTTCAAAAATGAATTGTTAAAAATTGTATTATAACAAAGAAGTTATAGATTTGGATGGCAAGTAACATATAATAAAGTAAAAATAACTGATAAAATTTCTCTCACTTATTAAATATAAACATATATATATAATTTTTATGTGCATTAGTGTTATGTCTGCATGTATGTCTGTGTGAGAGTGTCAGGTCTCCTGGAACTCCAAGTTCCAGGCAGTTGGAAATTGAACTTGATCCCCTGGAAGAACAGCCAGTGCTTTTAACTGCTAAGCCATTGCTCCCAAAAAACATTTTTTTTTAAATTGGAATAGGATTATATCACTTTCTCTCCCTCTCTTCCTCTAGCCAGTCCCATGTTTCATACTCTCAAATTGATAGTCTGCTTTT